TATATATATATATAAAACTAAGACATGCACAACACGGCGGGAGCAAATGTGTCTCGTATGTATCCATGTTGTGGTTCGACGGATTTTTCGGTGCGAATGACTTTACTCAACCGACCACATAGCACAGCCGAGTCACGCACAAACACATGCACGAGCTCAACAACAAATGAGAAGTGGAATTGTTTGACAAGGACTATTGTTCGGGATCACACGACAGATGATTCGACTAATTGCGCCGTGGAACGCGATAACGCAAATAGACAATGTGAAAAACAAATCATACGCAGTGAGTGACATCTAAGTGAGAGAGAAAGACAAAATGGAAACTGACGGGAACCGGCCGAATGCGCACACGCCCACGCAAAACGGCAAATGAGGAATAGCTTGCGTTCGGCACGTAATAAGCTAACTACGCTCGGCGGTCCTTATGGAACAAGAACGATTCGCCAAGGACTGGGATGGCAACTTTTTCATGAGCTAGGAAAAACAGGTCTCGATTAGGGCAGTAAGGCGCCGTACCCATTAGAACTTGCGGATATGGTTGATGCAATTCGAATTTCAATTGATATGGGTTTAGCTAGTGTTTGGTTGTATGGAGAATATACTCACATACTATGCGAACCGTTAGGAAGCTGTGGCTGCGAAACCCGAATTCAGGGTGACCGATTGAATAGACTGTAAAGAATACGTGAGATGACACAAAACAATAAACGAGATAGAAGGACAGGGACCCCAAACCTCGGATGATGAACAAGACAATCTCCCGATAAAATAAATTTCAGAATGATTTACGAGGAAGTGAGTATGTCGGTTCTCAAAAAGGGATCGGTGTTCGCAGGGTTTGAATCCCGGGTCTTGAGAATCCATGTGCATTCGCGAGGGGTGAAGAAAATCATCAAGTTATAACTGCTGGCTAGACTGAGAAGAGCATATGCTCAACGCGTCTCCCAAATGCGTGGGAAATTCAACATCGGAGGGGAACATGTCGAGTGGCCAACCATTAACAGAATCGGACCGAACGCAACCGTTAGAAGCGACTACTACTTCTACTAGTTCGGTTATTCGTCGAATTCAACCCGTGTCAGCGATACAGAAATTAGATCCAAATAGATCGAATTGAAACAGAAACCTGAAGAAGGGTTTCCATTACATCTTTTATGAGAAAAAATAATTGTGATTATTGTGGAATGCAGAATGCGATTTAGAAAACGAGAGACGATCCGCTTTCAATAATTACCGCAAATTTTTCCGCAGAAAAAATAAAACGGAAACTGATGTTATCCAAAACAAATTAATCTCTAGGGCTAAATAAAAACCCACCCACAAACCCGTATCGCTCCATCAAGTCACTTAACTGAACTATTCCTACGTATGCTAAACAACACGATGCCTCCACAATTATGGAAACGATTCCAGTCTGAGTAGTCATGATAACACAAAATAGCAAACAAGCTAGTTTTCGGTGCTACCTCAAGAGGCTAAATACAGCACAACTTATACCCGATTAGAACAGATTAAAATTTACCTGTTCCTGTGGAGCAAATTATGTGGGTCGAACGGTGGGGTATATCAAGGAGCATCACCTCGTTTGGTTGAATCAGGGATTTACAAGGACCGAGGTGACGGCAATTACGAACCATTTGACTGAGTCTAATCACACAGCCAATGTGCTTGAGGCTTTCCGTCCTCTCTATACAGTCAAGGGTAGGTTATCCAAAGATCAAGTTCAGAATTTTGTCAACAGTCGAAACGATTGCCATCTGTCTCCACAACCCTCCTCCCACTTGTGCACTCAGAAACAGTTTGTAAGAACACTGGTCTTACCATGGTCATCCAGTAACAATCTGGTGATGTAGCCTCCGTTTATGATCCACCGCTCATTCACCTAACCACCCATTCACAACCACTCTCTGTTTCTCACTTTCCACGCACACGCACACACACAGACAATCATACACTCACGAACATCAATTATCACGAGTCCACCATATCTCCTTAAACTCTGATTTCCTTCGCACATATCTGTCTCCCCTCCCCACCTGTTTTAATCTGTTATAAATTGCGCAGTATTTAGACAGTTGAGGTAGCACCCAAAACGAGCTTGTTTGCTATGCTGTGTTCTTAATTACGGAAACAAGGAATAATATCAGAGCATCAACCTCGGATTAGCCCATTCGATTGTTTGGGGGCACTAGACACTCGTGGTGGTCTTGGGTGCGGGTTTCACTCTTTGGGAGATCGTTAATTCCCCTATACATATACATATACATACCTATATATATGTAAAGGCGACTATCATGATGACCCTTCGAAGTAGCGCCTTATTACTCTTCTTCCCGTATAGCCCTAAGCCATTGGGCTTTTTGGTACAAACTTTTTGATGAGCCATTTGGAAAAACAAAGTATAATCGCCATCCGACATGGGTTTCAGCACAAGTAAATGTGTACCATGAATTTTCTTCTGGCTCGACAAACAGGGCGCAAAATCGAAATGCACATACACGTTCCGTGTAGGCATTATATCCGATCTAAGAAATAAAACAAGACCATTACTACAATCGATCTAATGCCATATCCTGCAGTGCATTGAACTAACCAGTTATAAAATCCTTCGGCACTGGAACTGACAAATAGCTAGTCTATCTAATCTTAGTGCAGTTCTTTAGACCTCTTCTGCATGCCGTCTCTTGACCTCCACGTGACAGACAATAGACAATTTTAGGTGTATGCAATACGTGTTGTTATCAGTCCAACCTACGCATCTGTATTCGGATTGACAAAGAATTTTCCATCAAAACACTCACGAATACACAGTGAATTACATCCATGTTATTATCTCGTGTGATCCACCCTGTCTGCGCCGAAATTACTAGATAAGTCAGATCGATGAATGTCTTCCACACACAAATCTAAGATCTCAGAATCGTAAAATAGAACCGATTGCTCAACGACCCATTAAACATAACCTTTAACATTCAAAGAACAGTTATGCCAAAGGTCCACTGTACGCTTTCCGAGTATTGGATATACATATGATCGAGTTTGCCGGGTCGGCAGCGTTAGTGACACAACTGCTTGCGGAGGAGAAGTTATCCAGATCACCGAGTTTCACGTCAGTGTTAGTGGACACTCAGTTTTGGAGTATCACTCTATACTTAGAAGGTGCGAATTGAACACGAAATAGAGTCACAGAACTTATCATTCTACCAAGTCAACTAACAATAGGTCTCGCGCAGGTTTTAAATGGACCAACTCGGAAGATTCATTGGGGAAAAACGTCACGGAAAATTAAATTCAATGAACAATTAGCCGGAAATGTCACAATACACAGGTCAACCCAACAGGCAGCATCAAATGAGATCATTATTATTAGCCACATTGTCACTATTATTCGATACACGTCAGCACATCCTATTTTTAAATCGATCAAAGGGATACCACATGATAAAACGAATTGGAGAAAGTTCGACGGCGGGGGTGGGGTTAGAACACACGACATGTGTTGGTGATCATCACCGTACGACTATCACCAGATTCCTACATGTCAGCATTAGAGAGTTTAGAGACTGTTGGTGTTTTGGAGATCGCAGGTTAAGAGATAAGCGAAAAGATAGGCGGCAGGACGAAACTAATTGTCTGGTGAAAAGTACAGGCACTTATGTAAGTGTTTGTAAACCACCATAAAATTATAATGATTACTGAGTTGTTAAAAATATTAGGGTTAACTACGGTTTCCAGTGTGTCAAATGAGTTAATAGGAAGGAAGGAATCACACTAGAAACAGCTACTAAGGGGGGGGGATGAGTGGGATTAGTGCATCACACTATGGCTCAAACAGAAAACCCTTGCATCACACCCATACCAGTTCTCACGAGTTTATCGTAGAAAGAGGGTTCCAATTACAGTAGCACATTTTTCTGATCTATTGATCACTTTTCTTCATGACAAAGCATAACTTGGTGAGGAACAGTGGAAGTGAAACCGATAGACACAGGAATCTACCGCCTGGTCATGGAGACTGAGAGTTTAAACCTTATGAACTAAATAAAACCTCAGTGGGATGAGTGTGGTGTTGAACCCAGTGACACCTTAATGGGAGATTTAATTCCCAGGACGAGCTAATGAAATCGAAATAAACCAAGTGGCCCCGAAACTATGAAGCTGTCATGATGGTGAGGAAAATTGTTCAGTCAAAAGCCCGAGTGGACGAGATCAGAAGAAAGAAAGCAGAGAAGTACTCACTGAGGAATGAAGGTGTTGAACAAACGAAGGAGCAGATCTCACCCACATCCATGAATGTCAGACTGAATAAACTATTCGTCAACGATTTGATCGAGTGCATACACGTAAAAATCATAAGGGACGGTTATAGAGTCGGGTTGGTCAAGGCCTGTGCTACACAGTACCCGCGTCGCGTACCGTTCTGCTTCAAAAATAACCGGAATCTATTTCGGTGAAACGGATGGGTCCGTTGGCACGTGTAAACCACTATCATGGAGCATGGATGTATGAAGATAATCAGATCCTGTCGGTCAGCGTGAACACGGCTGACAGTCACACAGGTGTTGGCACCTTTCGTGTGATCGTGTGTTAGGCCGGTGTGAGGACGTCAGAGGTTCCAAAAACTGAGTGACTGAGAAAAAACAGGCGAATGCGCGCGCGCGTGTCTCCTATTTATGGCTCACCAGGGTGGGGGTGGACGAGTGCAAACTTCACGAAATAAAACAAACAAACAAACAAGCATGTCTTCACTCAGCAGAAATGCGTTGATCTACGACCAGTTTTGCAAGTAAATATTCAACAATCAATTGGGCACCGTGTCTGTCGCAGACCGTGGTATGAGAAATAACAACAGGAAGGTAATAGGTCACTTACTGTACAGTTCCAGTCATCGGAAGCCTTTACCAATGGGACTTATATGGGTGATGGAGATGAACAGCATTAATTGACATAAAAAATGAAACGTGAGGTTCTAAGCGAAAAGACCAGTATGCTCTTTAACTACCAGCAAATAAAGTTGAAAAAATACCTCTTACACGAGATGCATAACGTACAAAACGAGATACCATGCATGGAATTAATATTTGCCGTTAATAAGCCATGTCAAATCTATAAGTAGTTCTATTCACCCAGACAAAATTGGTTAGATTTCCAATTTAACCAATTCCAAAGCACCTTTCTCGAATTCACAGATGAAAATAGACAGTCAGGTAGTATCCATATATAATAGCAACCGAAGTTACACAATCGACCGAGATGCGATAGTGTGCAAATCACGAAGAAACTAACCCGTGTATCCCAAATTACCATCAGACTAAACCCATTGCAATTCCCAACCTCTATGACGAATGCGGGACTCTTACCTCGTGGGCTCGTTGGAGTAATCCATGCAACTGGCTCAAACGTGAATGACACGCACGAGCCAGATTGATCGAGGCTTGAGCCACTCGAATTTTGTCTATCGACTCTGATTTATTGGCCACGTTCGGTCGAGAATCTCCACCGGACGAAGCGGGATTGGATAAGGATGCCAAACCGCTGCCACCAGAAGCTGTACTGGATCGCAGAATATTGGCTGGATTGCACAAATTCTCACCTAGCAACATCTCCAGTTTCATCCCAACACCAGGTTCACCATCTGGTAGAGCAAAACCCGTCTCGCTGTAGGGAGAAAGTAGGTAAATCGTGAAAAAAATTTGCTAGACCAAAATGAGTGGGAGAACTTTTGAGGAACAAGCCCATGAATAACATACTGTTGACAGAACTTACAAACATTCAATATCTTGTCCGAGACGGAGCGACACAAACAGACTTCGTGGAGGAAAATAGATCATTTGCACAAAACGTGTAATCGGTTCTTGACGAATTGTAAATTGACCCGTAGTCCTCCTAAAGTTTCGTGAATACCCTCGATTCTATTTCGCCTATTCGCCGAACTTAGAGAATTGCTTGCCCACACTTCATTACTAGCCGAGGTGGCATTGGCAGTGCAATAACCATGTGAAGCGATGAAGTGGGCAAGCAATACCGTGGCGTAGATCGTTGGCGAAATTATGCTTGGATCTGGTTTCCACCGCTGGGGCCCCAAAGATTCATATTGTCGATGGTTGGAGACACGGAAGAATAGGATTATTAATCGAAGTCAGTGGCGTGAATGCAGCCTTTCGGCAACCACCCAAAGACAAAAAATATCGAAAATAAATGCGGTAACCAGACAAACCGAGTGCTTTTACCATTTGTTTCTTTTTGTTTTGGTTCTGAATTTTTCTTTCAACCAACGACTATTTTAGTGCCCAATCTGTAAACATTGGAACAAAATATAATTAATATGTTGTTCAATGGCACACTGATAATTGGTCCAGTCAAGATCGTTATTTGACCCCGTGTAGGTAACGTAACAGGTGGAATGTGCACGGGAGAACACCTTATTGGTTGAGAGCAGCTGTAAAATAAAGTATAAAAACTCCGCGTTTATTCCATGAGGTGACATTTCCAGAGCGAGAAGAGATTTTGAGGAAGCAAATCAGCTGGCCTTGCGAAAGTTCGCTTTGTCTGGTCTCTAACCATTGACATTTCAGTTGTGAGAACATCATTCCGTGTCACCAGTGAACTAATCGCTCGAGAAAGCGAGTTTCAAGTAAATCGTCTGCGCATTTATGTAATATTCCACATAAAAACCGACCACAGACTTCAATATCGTTGCTCTCGTTCCAGGTTTAGTTGCACTTTTTCTGACTGATAAAACCGATATAACATGGTAAAATAACGTGTCAGAAGACTGAGTAGATGAGCATCCCACATGAGGTTTACGGATATCGATTCAAAGGACTATAGTCGAGAAGCCTATCACAATTAACATGAATAGGTCCATTGGTTAAAATCTTTGTACCTTCAGGTCACCGTATGATGTGACCATCTTCCAACGACTCAGTACTTCTGCCGAAAAATAGGAGACCCTAGTGTACGGGAAACGTATACGCACTTAGTAGAAAAAACAGGCAAATAAGGAACATCTTTACGTATCAAATCACAGTTTCCATTCAACGCTGGAGCATATCATAATCACTTTAACAAGCTATTGTAACGAATAGAACAACGACATCTGGGCCTGGGCGACGAAAGTAGTAGAACTAGATACCTCGACACAAGTCAACCGCTCTTTTAAACGCTTAGGATACAGGACGAGATACTTTCCAGAAGCGAGATACAAGGATTAGTCCGCAACCGAAGTCGGGCATGTAGGGATGAACAGACAAGTGCGGACTGAGGTCCGGTCAAGACAACATTACGGTTAAT